TTCTTTGCTAATTTTCGTACCCTTATATTTTATTTCTATTATTGTCTTGTTATTCTTGTTTCCAATTATTTCTTCTTTTTATCTTCTTCTTCTTTGTTTTTTATTTTAATTTTAATAAACTTCATCTTTCTCTATTTTCTATTTTATGATGAATGAAAATTTCATTATCATTATATTATATCTAATTTCATTTAATACTAACTTCCTCATTTATATCATTTTCATTTGATATTATTAACTCGTATTATTTTATTTCGTTCTTTGTAATATTAACTAATTTATTTCATATCTAATACCATCATTATAATCAGGTAATGATTGATGGTTCAATGACTAATTTTTATTATTGTTTGTGTGCATGTTTCTAACATGTCAACTTCAAACTCCAACTTTTTATTCACTAAAAACACAAAGTGATTTACTATTTAATGAAATAGTCAAAATACAGTCATGATCCCTTTATGCATTAAATGATAACCTAATCTACATTATTAACTAAAATATTTAAATAAAAATAGTTAATTAAGTGTTAATAGAATTTTTCATATATTATTCCTTGTTCAGTAGAGAATATTCATATCTCTTCACTTGTTTTTAAAAAGAATAATTTTTGTTTAATTTATCATTTAGGTTTTTCTAGGAGAATGATAAAACTATTTCTTTGTTTTATTTATTCATATTAATGTCTTCTCAAACTTTTCTGTTTATTCTTGCTTTTTAACATTTGTTTGATTTCTGATTTAAATTTAAATAATTTCATTTCCTCCTTTTACTTCAATTTATTTTATGAATGAGAGAAGAGAACATTTCATTCCTCTTATTTTATTATGACTAATTTCTTTTAGTCTTAACCACACTTTAGCAAATCCTTTTCCTTGGTTAATATATATTCCTTAATTTCTTTTTTAATAAATATCGAATATTATATTACACTATGTAATATTTAATCATAATAAATTGATGCACCATTTGCAATATTAACTAATATATTTCTAATTCAACTACACTAACATAACAAGATAATAACTGAGGGAGTCAAAACATGAATTGTATAAGTGTTTGAATGTAATATTTCAGATATGCCACATTCTATTTGTAACTAAAATATTTAAATAACATGAAAGGAATAAAATAAATATTAGTTATATCAAAATTATTCAAAACGAAAAATTTCAAGTAAATATTAAAGAAATTGAATAAGAATCATGTTCTTCGATATTGGTGATGTAATTACAATCTAAAGACAATAGTTATTTCTGTTTTGTATGAATAATGGTTCTTCAAGTATATTAATAAAAATAATGATGAATTGAAAATAAAAGTCAATCTTTTTTAATAGCAACATTATTATTTACATTTAAAAGAAGTAATACAAATCAATATAATAATTGCATTTTGATATAAAAATTATAAACAAAAACCATAAATAGAATATTGTAAATCACCAAAAGTAAACCTTATTTTAACATAATTTTAAAAGTTACGAATAATCGAAATTATTAAAAATTGAATGATTAAATCATTTTCATTCATAGAAAATATTTTTTCGTTAAAACAAGGGTTATTTATTCGTAAAAATTATAAAATCTTTCCTTCATTCTCAAGCAAACTTTATTCATCCGTTGAGTTTTTTTTTTTATTTGAAAACTGTGTAAATTAAAAAACCTGCACTCCATTTTTGGGTTTAATTTGGTTTTAATTTTTTAAAAGATAAATTCCAATCAAAATAAAGTAAGTTTAAATATATTTTTATATTAACACGTTTGTTCTTATCGTCAAAGTAAAAATCTATTTTTATTTTTGGTTTCTATCTTTTGTGCTTAAAAAAGAACTAACAACTCAATTTTGTTTCGTTAAATTCGACAATTATTTATAATAACTTTTGAATTGAATATTTTGGAAGTTTGTTTCAGCTTGAAGCCATAAATAAGTTAAGAAATATAAAAGAATGTTAAAAATGAAAACAAACATAAAAAATAAGTGTATTTAAAGTGTTTTTAAAGAAACTAATTATTCATAAATCAAAGTTATGTTAGGTGCTAAAAGCATTATTGCTGTTGTGGCTATAGCTTCTGCAATAGTCACAGGAGTAGTTGTTATAGTTGTTGTTGTCACACTTTCTGTGGTTTTAACAAGAAGTAGTGTTAAAGACACCAACGCTATTTATCTTTCTGATGTTATTACTAACGACCCACAAATGACAAACGAAATGGATACATTAGAAGTTATTTCTTCTTCAAAATTTAGTGGAACAAAACCAAAAGAATGGACTATGAAATATACAAAATATCCTTATTGGAGATGTGGACTTACATTTACTAATGATGAAAAACAAAACATTGTTAATGAAAATAAGGAATATATGACTTCATTATTACAACTTATTAATAACGGATCATTAGGAAGAATGCCCGAAAAATATGGTGGAGATAAACAATTTGAAGCTGATGGAGTTAATTGGGAAGCTGATAGATTAGAAGTTAGATATGGTCTTTTTGGTAGAGTTTTTGGTCAAAGAGCTGTTGCATGGGCTTTTCCAGGAGAAATAGTTACAATTAAATTCCCTAAAGGAATGAGTTATAAGGGAATTCAGGTTAGTATTGGTAAGTGTAACCACAATCCTTCTGATCAATGGTTAAATGTTAATAATTGGTCAAATGATAGAATGCCAATCGATTCAATTGGATTTGATTTAGGACTTAATACAACGGAACCATACATTATTAATGATACATTTAAAATAGGATCACCATTTGGAGGTATGATTTATTTAAGATCTGATACAACATTTACAAATTCATTTTATGTCACATTCAGTAATGTTGGAAGAGCTCCAATTATTAATTATAATATTACAACTAATGAAGAGTGGAATAGTGTTTTAAGAAATGCACCAGGAAATGTTGCAGAAATAAGAACACCAGGAAATAGACTTGTATTTACTTCAAGAAATATTAGAAGTTTGGAAGATGCACAATATATTAGTGATTTCTGGTTAAAAGCAATTAGTATTTCTAATTATGCTGTTACACTTGAAAATATTCCAATTACATTAAACTTCGATCAAAGAGTTGATGCAGGAGCTGCTGTTGCATATGTAGGACGTTGGTTTACTCAAAATCCATCCGATTGGGCATCTGGATGTGTTGGTAAAGATGGATTAATAAATTATGGAAATTGGGGACCATTACATGAAATGAATCATCATATGCAAGGAACCTTTTTAAGAGGAGGAAATTGGGGTATTAATAATCCAGGAGAAGAAACTAATAATGTTATGACATCAATTAATTATATTTTGTATACAAATATTGCTGGAAATAGAAACCAAGGACTTAGTGGTTGGAATTATGTTTCTGATGGTTATTCTACAATTTATAAAATTCTTAAAGGTGAAAATGACCAACCTCATTTAAGGTCTTATGTTAATATGGCACATGCATTTGGAACAGACACTTTAATTGCTTTAGTTAAATCTTATTATGGATTATGGTATGAAAATAATTTTGAAAGTAAGTATTCAATTAAAAGAGATTCAACTTCTGCTTTCTGTTTGTTAGCTGCATTAGTTACAAAAAGAGATACTAGATACTTATGTTCTCTATTTAAATACGACATACAATCAAATGTTTCAGAAGCAATTAAAAACATGAATTATCCAACTTATTATCCATTCTTTAACCTTTATGCTATGAGTTATAATGGAAATTACTATGGAAGACCCTATAAAATTCCATATGGTAAAACTAGATTGAATTTCACTGCAACTACTGCTATAGATCCAAAAGCAACTAGTGTTAGTTATACTATTAAATCTGGATTAACTAAAGGAAAATTAGAAAAAGTTGAAGACAATGTTTATGATTATACACCATTCTTTGGAATAGAAGAAAATGATACTTTTGTTTTAAGTATTGATTGTGTTGTTAATGGAGAAAAGGTACATATCGAACAAGAAGGAACATTTGAATTAGATCCACATCAATTAGTATATGAAGTTTATAAAGATGTTCAAACAAGAGATATGGCACAAGCTCTCAATATTATTCAGAATAGAACTGCTAACGATACAGGAAGAGCTTCATTCTTTGGAATTGGAACATACAATGATGGATCAATGCAATCAATGTTGGTAGAAAAAGGTAAATTTATTGTTCCAAAATCTGGATATTATACATTGTTTATGAAAGCAGATGATTTAGGAAGATTGTTATTGAATGTTACTGGAGAGTATGAACAATTATTAGATGTTAAAACATATCTTGGAGGTTATTCAAAAACTCTTAATGGAAGTTATGCAACCGTAAAATTGGAAAAAGATATTGAATATCCATTTATTCTTTACAATTTGAATACTGGAGGACAAGGATTTATTAGAATAGGATATTGTTATCATGGAACAGAAGAATCCAGTGTTGATGTTTCTAAATGTGGTGTCTCAGATGTTGGAAGCTCTATGGTCCTTAATGAAAAAGTTAAAACAGGAGCAAAAGAACGAGAATTCCAAATTCCACCAATTAAGTACAGTAGACCAACACGTTTCTTAACTAATGCATATAGAACTATTCCAAAATGTTTGAATGGTGATGACTCTTGTTCTATTAAATGTGTCTCATTACCACTTAAACATGATGATACAAGTAAATGTTCTAATATGTTTGATGATAATTTTTCTACTATGTATCATTCAAGATGGACTGGACAAGGAACTACTTTCCCAGTTAATTATACATTTGAGTTCCCAGAAAATGTAACATTTAATAATCTTTATGTTCATCATAGAAGACCTGAAGATTCATGGGGATACTTTGAAATGTTTGTTAAATCTCCAGAAACTGGAGAAATGGAGTTATTAGAAAAGTATAAGCATCCAAAGTCTACTACAACAGAAATTGATTTCCAAAAATTAGTTACAACTGATCGTGTCCAATTTATTGTCTACAATAATTCAAATGGTGGAAATTATGTCAATGTTGTAGAATTGTCTTTCAATATTAAGGAAACCTTTAAGAATTATACAAATTCATTTGGACCAAAGATTAAAAATACTGGATTTAAGAAAGTTACTACACCAGGTGCTTCAGGAGGATATCTTGCAGTAAATGAAAAAGAAGGTGAAGGATCACTTTGCTTCAAAGCTAAAGTCACTAAATTTGGTCTTTATGGATATAGAAAAACAACATCTGGAAAGTTTAGAGTTACAATTGACTCACAACCAGGTCAAGTTGCTAGCCAAAGTTATTTCTCTGACTCTGAAAGAACTTTATTCTATGCTCATACTTTTGATGAAACTGAAGCAAACAAAGTTCATAACATCTGTATGGAAGTTGTTGAAGGAACAGTTAATCTTGATATTATTGGTTCTTCTTAAACGTTAATTGAAGATATTTCATTTAAATAATATAATGTTATTTTAATTTTATTGAGAAAATTTTGAGTCTATTTCATTAATTATTGAATCATGATTGAATTTTTATAAATACATCAGTTGAGTATTTAGTTGTATGTTATGATAACACTTTTTTTCGCTCCCTCATCTCATAAATATTTCATCTGTTTGAATATTGATAACTCTGATAAACTTTAGTTCATTACTTGTTTATATTCTCAATTATAACATTTTTAATCTTTAATTCTTAGTCCTCTTATAAAGTATCAAGTGACTATTCTATAAACCTACTTATCTAAGCTAAAAAAACAATAAAACTTGTTAGTGTAATTTATTATTAATATTAATATCCTTGATAATTAGAATCAAAAATTTATCATCTTAGACTATCTCAAAATAACAGTAATAAACAAAACATAAAACCTTTATAACTTTTAATTAAAACAGTTTCAAAATTATAATCTAAAAGACAAAACATAAAATGTTTCATAACATTATTTGACATTTTTTATGAAAAAAGTTTTTAAATAGAGTAGTATAATAACCTCCTTATCAAAAAATCATTCAAATAGACATCCAAAAACTATTTTAATAAACTAAGGTTTTGTAAGAGTTAACACCTTTAGTTGAAATTGGAAAACTAAGAGTTTTGAAGGTATAATTTGAGTAGATTTTATTTGATAGTACTGAAAGAGTTATAAATGTTAAATAAGTAGATGAACCAAATCACAAAGCATTCAAAAATTACAAAGGGTTTTTGTTTATATAAAAAAGTCTGTATTATGAAACTAAAGAAATATCCATTCAAGAAAGAAACTAATTACATAATTATAAAAATAGTTTTATGAATATCTGAAGTATATTTTCTTAGTAATAGAAACAAAACGTCTTTATACTATAACCCTTCTTGTAAATCTTTTATCAAAATCTAATAGTGAAGAGTTTGAGTATATCAACAATAGTATTATTGTATAATAAAAATAAAAAAAATTAACTTTTTGTTTAATTAAAAGAAAAATAGTTTTCAAAGTATATTATTAGAATCTACGAAAAAAAAAATGACAGGCAGTGAAATAAAAATAGATATAAAAATAATGAGAAATAATTATCTTGAAAAGAAAAGAATATATAAATATAAATAACGAGCAAGGAAAAGAAATAACAAAAACTAATTTTGCCTGTCATAGGCTATTTCTTTTATTTTTGGAACTTGAAATATCTAACCAATTAAGTTATGACTTATTTTATTATCATTGGATTACTTTGTATCACTCTTGTATTAGGTCAAGGAAATGATGAATATTGTGACTTTGACTGTTTTATTGAAGGGTTATCATTTACAGTCGATTTAGAAGGAAAGATGTCTACAATGGGGTATAATATTCCATCATTAACATTTGACGGAATGGCAGTGAATCAAATTGGTGGTTCAACTGATAACAAAGATGAGCCAAAATCCTTTAATGCTTCTATTACGTTACACTCATTACATGCTATAGGAGATATTTTAAAAGAAAGTAGTAATAAAAAAATTGGATACATGGAACTTAAATTAACTGATGCATCAGCTGGATTTAGTATGGGGTTTGATAGTTATGATTATTGTGGCTATAATTTAATTTCTGGAACAGAACCATCTATAACAATTGACTTAAATACTAAAAGTGCTAAAATTGATTTAAAATGTACTGACTGTGGAGTACTTGATACAATTGTACTTGGACTTGGAGATTTCTTTATTTCTATTATCAAGAATTTCTTACAGAAAATAGTTAATAATAATATTGATAAAGTTAATCAAATGGTTAAAACTTCGTTAGATGAAGTATTTCTTAATATTAATAAGAATTATACAGAAAAATATATTAATAATACTCAACCTCTTAACATCCCTATTGAAGATGGAATGATGAATATTACAGAAAGTACCTTTTTTGATATGTTGTCATGGACAACAACAGAGTTATTAGGTGGAAATAGTTCATTAGGGTTAAATCAAATTATAGATAGATTTACTCATAACACAGGTAGTATCGTTGCAGGAGGAGATGATGATACTTTTAAAGAATTAACTGATGAAATAATTTCTGGACTAACATTTAATGGAATTGAGTGGCCTGATGTTAATGGTACTATAGATTTTGGATTAACATATTTTAATGTTAGTGGATTAGATACATGGTATGGACTTCAATTTTTCGAGCCATTAAGAGATACTCCAGTAAGTAAAGAAAATAATGAGTCAATGTGTAGTATTGAACCTAATTGCGACCAACAATTAAGAATTGCTTCTGGACTGAAAACACTTGATATTTTTATGACATTTTCTATTAATGCAACTGCTAATAGTTCTTCAATATCAACAAATGGAAAGAAAATTCATGAAGAAGCAGATTTTCATGTTATTGTAACAAATAATGAAATGGAAGGAAGAATTCAAATAGCTATTGTAGATGGTAAATTTGAAAATTATACTAATAATATGTGTACTAATGGAACTTGTTGGAGTGCTTTATTGGATCATCATGGAACTGGTGTTCCTATCGTATTATTAAATACTAGTATTGATTATATTGGAATTACTGCTGCATCAGCTTATCTTGAAGATGGAATTCAACAAATTATTAATTCAATTGCTGATGTATTTATTTATAATTACAAACCAGTTATTCCTGCTTTTCTTAATGGTCTTATAAATGAATTTGCAACAGTAAGTATTAATAATATGTTTAATGAATCTTTAGGTGTAGAATGTGACGAAGATCCAGATGAAATTATTTTAGGATATAAACCTTCTGTAGTTGTATTAAGTACTATTGTCTCAATAATATTATCAATTTTTCTTACAATTGTTGCTGTTATCTTCTTAGTTGTAAGATGGAGACAAAAGAAAAATAATATTAAAGTAGAATATGAACTTGATGGAGATAATCAATATGAAGAAAGTGATGATGATAGTATTAGTGATATTCATTCTGATGATGAAGGAGTTAAAAAGATAAAAAGATACAAAAAGAGGATTTATAAAAAGAAAAAGAAGTCTTTATGTAAAAGAATTATTCAATTCCCTGGATGGTTCTTTAAACAATTTTTTAGAACAGACCCTAAAGGAGCAAGCATGTTTTTAGATAGTAGAATTACAATTGTAATAAGAGCAATTATTCCATTAGTTATCTTCCTTAATATTGCATTATTTATTACATCTAATACAGGTACTGGAGCAACAGTTAATGCTTACATAATATTTGGAAGTAGTAATACAATAACTATGCCTGTACAAGATTTCGGTTTAATGAATTCTGTAAAAGATATGTGGACAGCTGGTGTTTATCCTTTGTCTATATTAATTATGGTTTTCTCAGGTATTTGGCCATATACTAAATTAGTTATGTTATTAGTTGCATGGATGATTCCTTCTAGTATTATTAAACCAAGTGTTAGAGGTATAATACTTAATGTATTAGATGCCCTTGGAAAATGGTCATTTTTGGATTCTTATGTCATGATCTTAATGATTATGGCATTTTATTTTGATGTTCCATTACCAATTCGACATCCAAATTCTGTTAATGATCCAATGACTATTAAATTATATGTTGATCCAGAATATGGTTTTGTTACATTATTACTTGGTACATTAATATCTTTGTTATTATCACATGTTATGGTTGGAATTCATAACAAGATATTAAGCAATCCAACAGATAACATTGGAGAAAAAGCCACAATAAAAAAACCATTATTATGTTTTACAAGATTTTTCATTGTAAAAGTATTGATGATTTTATTATTATGTATTTCTTGTGGATTAGTCATTGCGGGTATGTTCCTTCAATCTTTCTCATTTGATTTCTTAGGACTAGCAGGATGGGCACTTGATTTATTAGGATATTCACAACACAGAGACTTTTCTGTAATGGATCTTGGTATTGGTATGCCATCAGCATGCAGAGAACCAAATAGTTTTGCAGTCAGGTTTACACAAGTAACATATTTTATAACAATTGTTGCTATTCCACTCCTTCATCACATTATGTTATTAATATTATGGGTTGTTCCTATCACAAGAAAAATACAAAGTATCATCTTTCAATTTTGTGAAATTTTATATGCTTGGTCATGTATTGATGTTTTTATAATTTCAGTAATTGCTGCCGTTGTTGAATTATCACAGTTTGCTTCATTTATGGTAGAACCTTATTGTGGAGCCGTTATGCCTTCAATGAATAAAAGTTTAGATGATATTATCGCATTATTCTTTGGTAATGAAAAATACATTACAGATCATGAAACTTGTTTTGAAGTTAAGGCTACATTAGATGATGGATGTTGGTGTTTGTTTGCTGGGGTAATTGTATATACTGTTACTACAATTACTATTATGAAGATTTCAAAAAGGGCATTATCAAAACGACTTCCTACAGATCAAGAAAAACAAGAATATTGGGCTGAGAAAAGTACAAAAACTCCTGACACTTGGCCATTGTTATTTAGCTCTAACTAAATTGAATTACTTTCATTTTTAATTGTTTGGTGTTTGACCCTCATTTTCAATTTCAAAAAAAAATTAAACCAAATGAATAAATTAAT